AATAAATAAATAAATAAATAAAGGAATAACTAAGACTTGGAGAGTATTTCAGCAAACAATAAGGACTGAACTGGGCCAGCCCTGCCCTCTATAAATCACACAGACTTTGGCTACCGTTGTTGCAGGGAAATTCTTGCCACATAGAATCTAGAGGCACAAAAGATATTTTTGAAGGCCTCATAAAAAGCAACTGATACTTATCAATCTGGAAAAATATACAAACCCATTTTAAAAGTTCTGGGTCTCCACCAGTCCACATCAGAGACCATCCTAAAAAGATATTTTGGGACAATAGTAAATCTTCCTAAGAACGTCCACTTTGTCAATGGCACTAAAAAAGCACAACGTAAAATTGTTCAGGAAATCACAGAGAACTTCAGAACAACATCTGGGGATCAGCAGGCATCATTTCCCTTGACTCCACCATCAGAAAAACAGAGAATAAAATGGGATTCACAGGAAAGTAGCAACACAGAAACCATTGCTGTCTAAGAATGGTTTGTTGAAAAGCACCTGGATGACCCCAGGCTTCTAGAGGAAGTTTTAAGGACAGAGGAGTTAAAGGTGGAATTTTTCAGGCAATATATATAACTACTAGAAGTCAAACACTGCCTTTCACATACCAACTGTCAGGCATCAAATTAATAGGGTCATGGTTTGGTGTTGGTAATTTGGACTTGGATTATTTGCCATCACTGAAGGAAGCATGAATTCTGCTTTGCATCAAAGAATTCTGCGAGTGTTTAAGCCTGAGCGAGTCATGCAGATACTGATACCAAACATATAAGCAAGTCTATAAGATAATGGTTGAAGAAGAACAAATTCAATTTCTCAGAATGACCAATCCAGACCAAGTCCAGAGCTAGAGTCCATAGACATGCTGTGGCAGAACCTGAAATTATTTAATATTTTATGCTAGAAAACTCTCAAATTCTACTCAGTTGAAATAGTTTGCTGTGGAGGAGTGGGCCAACATTTGTATCTAGTGAGGTAAAAGACTGATAACCAATTACAGAAAGCTTTTGACTGCAGTTGTTGGAGGTCAATGTGGTGTGTGTGTTACTGAATCTAAGGGGTGATTTCTTTTTCACACTGGCACATTGCATGTTGGTTAATTTTGGTTACACTATCAAATGAATGGAATAAGAACCAATCTTTAGTAGTGGTATTTGTTTACTCAAGCTCTCTTCATATATCAGTAGGGCCCTCATGAAGCTCTGATAATATTCATTGGCAAACATATGCAAAAGTTCAGAACATTCTAAAGGGGGTGAATACTTGTCCACAGAGCTGTACATGTCTAGAGTATTTATACACACACACACACACACACACACACACACACTAGTATAGTGGAAAGCACTGCAAATGTAGCATTCAAGACCCACTTTCTTACATCTATGAAATAGTACAATCTTAAAGGACACAGTCAACCAAGGCAAAATTGTTTCTAATATTAATCATTTAGATGGCTAGTACAGGGCAATTCTATGGATTTTTTTTTTAATAATTTCCATTTAGTTAAATGGGGCATTTTCCCAATAAGCTGATATTTTGCATCCTTCAGCAAATATCTTACATTGAAATAAATGCAATTTAAATAGTAAGTTAAATAAGTTCTTAAAGTTGCCTGGATGCTGGCATTTAATTCGAAACAATTCTGTTTTTAAGGAATTAGCCTGCATATTGCACAGAGAAGCAGAATTTACCACAAGCTTAATTGTACCATGCAAAATATTGATCAGTTCTATTGTCAGATTTTAAAGTGATCTTAAACGAATTGGTGATTTTTTTTCTATTTTTCAGTTTTAAAAAACATTAAAAAGTTGTGTGTGTGTGTGTGTGTGTGTTTTTAAGTAGGCTGATTGAATAAAATTTCAGGAGAAATCAGGAGAGTATATTTGCAAGGAAGGGTTATTAAGTGTAGTTCAAGTACTGGAAAAAATACTGATTCACAGTCCTCAAGCCTAATTATTGCTAATCTTGATTACTGCCATTGCATCCCTTGCATAGTATCTTAGACTTATGTACAACTGACTCATGGGGCAAATTTTCTTAATGAGAATCTTCTACTTCCAGATTGATTTAGAAGGCTACTGGATGCTTTGGATGAGAAGTAATATGAAAGGGAATCTATTCCATTAGATCTTCCTGCATTCTGATATGTTCCTACATAGCTATTATTTGTCCTTCAGTCTCAACATTATGCTTGAACTCATCCCTTGAGCTTTTTAGTCATGATTAACGCCTAGTCCCAAGGATCCTAGTCCGGTACTTCCCTCTCATATTCAGGCTTTTAATAGTATTTAGAAGACAGTCTCTGTTCTTTATGTTTTATGTATTGGAACTGAGGATAAGAACCAACAGTTATTGAAATGTGTTTGACTGGCATATCCCAAGTCCCAAAATAGACTATACTGTACCGTTTCCTTTATTGTGCTGTAGCCTTAGATAATTCTGCCCTGATAGCTGTAGCTGTTGCTACAAATGAAATCCTAAGACTGGGAAGTGAGATAACTGTTATAGGACATGCTGAAATGTTATACTGCTATCAGTGGACTTGAAATATGAAATAATGTTTAGGCATTTTATATATTCATTTTGGTATGTAAAAGCTTGGTAATTTCACATTTGCCCTGTATTTTTTATTCCTCAGATATCTTATGTTGATATACCAGAACTAGGAAACAGAAGAATAAAACATCATCTGACAATAAATATTGTACAGAATATGGTTATTTGCTGGTGGTCTATTGCGAAGGATGAAGTTTGGCCGTGGTCTCCAGTGTCTAGCAAAAGAGAGAGAGCCAACTTGCTACTCTTGAAATGTGAACATGGCAACTTAGAGGTAATCCTCTAAATCTCTAAATTGGATATTTGTTTGAAGCATTTTTACCCCATTTAGCTAAAAAGGGTCTGGAGTGATTTCAGTAACAAACAAGAAAATCCCCGCCATGGGTTTCCAGCCTAAATGATGCAATGTAAAAGGAAAAGGGGAAGGAAGTTTTAATGCGGGGAAAGTTCTCATAATGACCAGTTTAAATTAGTGCTATATAGAAGTACTTCAGCCCAACTGTGGCAGAAATTGAAATGTCCCCTAAAGTTATTAGGAATTAGACATTTGTTAAGATGTAATTCCTAATAACTTTTTTATGCATGTGAGGAATCTTATTTTAAGGATGATTTGGTTGAAGGGTTTTGGGGGTAGGTTACAGAAAACAAATACATACCCTTGAATTCATTGGGTTTTTTTTTTTTAATTGTCCATCCCTTGACAGTTATATAAAAACAAAAATTGAAGGGATATTTGGCAGAGTTTTAGGTTCAGCGGAAACAATTCAGAGAGATAAAGAATCAAATGGAGCTGGGATCTCATGAAGCTTCTCAACTGTTCTCTCTATAGGCCAGTGGAATAGTACTTGAAAGATTCAGTACCTCATGGTTGATCTGGTACTTTATACCTATTTACTCAGAATCCTCATTTGGGACAGCTTGAGGAAACTCTTCTCCTTTTTAACTAATATTAGTGCTATTTAAATATTATCTATACAAGTCGAAGAAATGAAGCAGCCTTATTTTAGATTTCCTTTTACACAGAGAGAACCGTATGCACATATGCATGGCTATAAATGCTGTTAAAAGTATAAGATTAAGAATTAGGTGAGATAATATATATAATTCCACTCTCCATTCCCATGCATTAACATAGTACTGAAAATGATTACTATAGTGAGGTGGCGCAGCGGCTTAATGACGCTGGAAGTTGCCAGCCAGAAATGGTTGGCACTTCAGCGGTTCGAGCCCAAGCTCCGCGCAGCGGAGTAAGCTCCCGTCTTGCGCCCTCAACTCCTGCCCACCTAGCAGCTCGAAAGCGTAAATGAGTAGATAAATAGGTACTCTCACCCCAGTGGGAGGAAAAAACGCTGGCGGCGCCTTGCACAGGAAAACAGGAATCAGTTGCTGGTTGCAGGACGCAACACAACGGAAGAGACCCAATTTCCTGCGACTGCCAGCTGGGCTTCGCCCTAGGAAGGAGGCAATGGCAAACCACTTCTGAAAAAACCTTGCCAGGAAAACTGCAGGGACTCGTCCAGGCAGTCTCTGTAGAATCAGTCATGATTGAAAGTGGATCCAAAAAAAAAAAAGTGAGGTTTACCAAGAACATATTATTTAATCATTCTCAGTTGTCTTTTTTTTTTTTTTTTAAGGTTGAGGTCTGTTCTCTCAAATTGTCTGGCATTATTTGCACAATATCTATCCATAGTGAAAGAAAAAAATCATTTTCAACCTTTTATGTAAACTCAGATTAAAATGATGTAAAACTATATTATTCAGATTTAGTATACCTTTTAACCTGGGATTGGGAGGCTTGGGCAACAAGAAGCTGAGATAGTAAATGTGACAGGTTCCTTTATAAATACCTATATGATTTCATGTCTATTAGACCTCAAAGAATTTTCTAAAAAAGATGGAGATCAAACTTTTCATGTTGGGAATGTAAGAAATGTGAAGGTTCTTTAACTTACATAAAAGTTATAGCTTTGTTTCCATTTCAAATTTATATGTATGTTAACAAAATTTTGGAAAGAAATATTATATTTAAAGATCACAATATGATGTTCCATATTCCTATAATATGGAACTTCTCATCTTATGAAGAGCTTTGGCTTTATTAAGCTTAGCTACAGCAAAGAGGATATTTCCATGTAACTGGACAGAAAATCACTTTCCTGATTTTAAGGATGGATCCAGGATATGTTACCTATTTTTGAAATGTGTTTGTGCTCTAAAAACAACACATTATGTTACTGTATGGTCTGGATTCAATGACAAGTTCAACAATTGAATTAATTCCATAAAGATATTCATCATATGGATATATTTAGGGCTTTTTTCCTTCACTGTATTATCACTATTCAGTGTAGACTTTTTCCTTTTGTATTTCACTATTTTAACAATAAATGTATAGATGTTAATTTAAAAAGAACTCATCAAGATTAGTCCAAACTGTACCAGGGAAGGCACTGAAGAGATGGATATGTACTCCTGAAGTAGTCTCTGTGTCCAAGGAACAGACTGAGGTAGAAGTGGGGAAGGGAGCAAAGAATAGACATCATCCTCCCAATCTGAATCAGCAGCCGCTGGAGGCAGTTACAACAGTTTTACAAGTATTGATTTACCAGGATATTACAGATGAAACTGACAAACAAGTTGGGGGTACATACATATCAAATTCAAGCTCTTAGAATCTATTAGTTCCCTTCCAATCAATTAAATATTCCAATTTGCACAATCAGCATCTAGAATCTAAAATATATTCCACCTCAAATTCTTCCTTCCTCCACAAGCCAAGCAAGAGGGGACGGAGGGTTGGTGCAGAGATGTGGGCATGGAGGGCAGTCAGGAAAAAGCAGGGAATGATGAAAGAACAGGTGAATCTTCCTTGAAGCTGGCAGTTGTAAAAGAAAAGCTATAGAAGGATAATTTAAGTTTAGGGGAAGGGCCCAATAATTTTTTAATCTAATTTCTTCAGAGAGTAGGAGAATGGCAAAGATTTAGTAGAAAACCATATGCAATTCCCCCACAATACTCAGGCCATCTAGTTGACTCTTCCATTCCTTTCCCAATCTCCCCATAATCTCCCACAATCCCTTAAATAACTAAATAATTCCAAAATGATTGGAAAAGCACCTACTTTTACATGGATATACTGATTTAACATTCTTAGTTTCTTCTTTGGCTACCCCCATCTTAGATGAGGTGGGTAGCAATTAAAAATGGTTCCTTTAGATTCTGGCCTGCTAAAGTATGAAGTGTCAGTTAAATATCTTCTTTGTTTTTTTAGGAGTTTTAGAACATAATTTACATTTTCGACTCTTATTTCTTAGCGTGAATATTTTTCTTATCTACTGTTTTAATATTTTGTTTCTATGTTTGTTTAAGTTTGCTGGACCTGAAGGGAAAGTTATAAAATATATTGCATCATTATAGTGCTAATCTGTTTAATATAACTGAGAAGAGACTAAGAAATGTTCCTTAGAGGCAGTCCTGCTTTTATTGTGACTTTCAAAATAAAAAAGCACAGTATAATTACATCTTTTGCACATGGATGAGTATGTGTATGCATTATAAAATAAAATAATTATATTTTAATGAAAAAAAATTGCTCTACAATAAATATTTTTTCACAAAGACAGACCTATTTTTAGTAGTAAGAAATTCTACTCATGTTATTACATTCACAAGAATATATGTCTTAAACTGATATATATCCATTTGTACACTGATATACAAACTGATTTTGTGCACTAAAATTCAGCATTTAATTTTTTTTTTTTGCTTTGTAATTTATAATGTAAAACTAGGAGTTTTTTAACATCTGTAAAAGTAAATCAAGGAATTTTTCATTTAAGGATGGAAAATTGAGTCAGATTCTTTCTTTCTTTCTTTCTTTCTTTCTTTCTTTCTTTCTTTCTTTCTTTCTTTCTTTCTTTCTTTCTTTCACCAATTTTCTGCTTAAAATCTACTGATTAAAACTTTTTCCCCCCAATATGCAGGCATTATTCCTTCTTCTTTATTTTTCTGCAAAAATAATATCATTGTTTATGCACCTGAATGGAACTTGATTATTTTCTCCTTCCCACTCTATAGTTATATTATTTAATATCCTTTGCAAAATTCAAGTTGTTACAACTTTCTGACAAAGATTTCACTCTTAGTAGTACTTTGCCTTATAGATCACAGATTTTTTTTCAGACTCATCATATTTTTGTATAATTGTATACCTCTAAATCTCATGACTCACAGCAGTGTACAATAAGTCATTAAAATAGTAAAATACTTATAACATCAAAACAGGAATAACCCTATAACAATCAATCAAATAATCAAGTTTACAGGAAATCATTTGAAGATACATTGGCATTAGCTCAATAATACACTAGCAGTAACTCAATAATCCAGCAACATTCATTCTCACATATGGTGCAGAACACCTCTGTCTTGTCAGCTTCATGAAAATATGCCAGGGTTAGTCCCAACCAAATCTCTAGAAGGAGGCTATTGTTTGTCAATCGGAGGGCTACCACAGAGAAGTATCCCAGGTACTCACAGTTCTCCCTTCTGATTTCTGTGGAATCTTCAGCATACTCAGCTAAGATGAGCATACAGTAGTGGACAAGTCAGTTCTACCTGAAGAAGATACTCCTGTGAGTATCTGGAAGTGAAGTAAATTTATTTAAGCAGGCAGGGCATCCCTATATGTTTTAGCTCTTCTGTTATATCTTGGGCCATTTTTTGGTCATTGAAATATTGGTCAGTAACATAACTCACATCAACCTCTGTGAGGATCAGTTTTACACTGGATTGCACCAGTATTTCCAGGCTAATGCCTATACCTGGCCCTAGAGTGGCAACATTAGGATGATACATTTTAAAAAGCATAAATGGAATCAGGACAAAAACTAAATGTGATTCAGCTGATTCTTATCAGTTCAATTGCTATTTGGCGCCTCTCCTTTTTCAACAACTTTCACTGATCAAACTGTTATAGGAAACATGTCATTTCAAGTAATAGTAAGTGAGCTTGCTTGTTTTTCTCTCCCTTCCCCTTATCTCTATCTATCTATCATCTATCTATCTAAAATCTTTAAAGCTGAGCTCATGGATGGTCTTCTTTCTGATCTGTGGATAATGTTAATAAATACTGGGTGTTTCATAAAAGATATAGCAGTATCAATAGAAGAGAATATCTATAGCTCAGGGTTGAACTGTGGAGTCCTTGGCGTTCTCTGAGCTTGGTTGTTTTCTTACAGATGTTTCATTACCCAAATAGGTAACATCTTCAGTGCTAGAGAGAGCAAACCCCACTCCCTTCTAGCACTGAAGATGTTGCCTAGTCAAGTAATAAAACATCTGCAAGAAAACAACCAAGCTCAGAGGACACCAAGGATTCCACATATAGTAATATCTTTATTATTTAATATCTTCACACCTTCAAGGTATGGATCAGAAACTCAAACCAAATAAAAAGTTATTGTTCAGTTTATCCAAGTCTGTAGTCTTCTACAATATATTTTGCTTGATGATTCTTTTCTTAAAAGAATAAGATAGAGCCTAAAAAGTCTAACATTATTGAGTGTTTTATTTCTTCAAATGTAATTATTGCCTTATAAATTATTAGGTGTTTTCAGATAAAAACTTCTGAGGTAAGAAACTTCAACAATTAAGAGGCACAATTAATATATGTCACATGCTTTAGCAGATAATACAGTACGATGAAATCTATTTCTATCAATTTATTTGTTATCTTGTTTATGAATTATAGCATTTTCTATTTTACAGAACTTGTAACAGTCTGCTGTTTCTATACACTTTAATTCTGCATGTGGGTTGTTTTTCAGATTCTGAGTTATATGCATACAGATGGGGATCCACTTGATGTCAGATTTAGTATGTGTAATCCACACCAGATTCATACTGTGGAACAGTCTTTCAGTGCAGATCAAAAGCCCATGGTTGACAGCTGCATCTATGAATATGTTAGGAATAAAGTTCATTGTGTGGCAATCACCAAAATACCATTAACATCAAAGGCCATCAGCTGTTGCACAAATATTACAGAAGACAAACTTGTTCTGGGTTGTGAAGATTCTTCAATAGTTCTATATGAAGCCTACCGTCAAGTAACTCTAGTAACAGAAGCAAAGCTGCTGCCTGCATTAATGTGTTGCCACCCCAGTGCTGCCATCATTCTTATTGGTAGTTCACAAGGGGAGCTACAGTTATTTGACATGGCACTGTCTCCAATTAAAATGCAGCTTTTAGCTGAAGACTTCTCACCCAAATCCACTCTACAGTTCAGTGAAAAATTTGAGGTATCCAGCAGTCTCACTCAGATCCAATGGGCTGTCCCACAAGATTCTTCTCAGGACATAGATGTTTTAGATATACATGATCTTCTATTACTCAGATTTGACAAAGGACCTATTGGAGTGCTTCATTTCAAAACTGGTAAGTTTATTTGGTAGTTAATGGCAAAGGCAGTTTTTATATATTTCATCATCAGAAACAGAATCTCTGCTTTTTAAAAAGATTAAATAGGTAGGAAAACTAAGCAGGAAAAGTAAAAGAACTGGAAGAAAAGAATCCAAGATTACATTACATTGCTTATGATTAAATATTGGGCTGAATCTGTCCAAATATATTGATGGGAGGAATCTGAACAATTAAAATATTAGTATTTTATATGGGTTATCTGTCTCAACCCAAGAAAATAATTAGCAAACGTAGATGAAATCCACTGTTGTTCAAGGAACTTCTATTTATGCAGAGGGCCTTTTTCCTCCCTTTATTTTTCTCCTTGCTCTAAATCTGCTACAGCAGACTGGGCAATTCACCAGTTGATTCTGGGAGCTGGAGAAACAATTACCTTTCTCCCAGTCATTCCACTGATGATCGTAGGCCACTTGATTTTATGCAGCACCATTAGTATTGCAGCTAGAGTATAGTTTTCAAGCAAGTATGGTTGCAGATTTGACCAGATTTGTACATTTATACATACCTATCACTATTCCTTTTCAGGGTAAACAGTGTTTTCCAAAGTACAGAAAAGGTGTAAGAAATAGTAGTAACAGAAATTAAAGACATAAGAGATAAGAAAAGGAAATAGTGCAATTTTCTATATGCTATAATCATCACCAGATACACCCATAAATATTGACTTTATTATCTTTCTTACCAAAGTAGGTCACCTGGAAATGCTTGTCATTGCACCATTGCCTGTCATGGTGCTGGTCCATGGAGGCTTTCACATTATCACTTTTTAGTAAGACAGGGAGAAAAGTAGATTATACACCTTTATTGTAGCTGTGCTATATGGGAATTCCCTAGTCATAGTAAGAATACTACCAATCCATTTTGATACTTCTGGCCAATACGCAGCAAGCAGAACCAAAGTCCAGTTTTATCCCAAGCATGCTTATGCTTTTATAAGCGAGCTGGTCTCTCTAATCTAGAGACTATTCCATAAGCCATCCGAACTGCTGCCCATATCCCACCAATTAGGAGGTATATAAATATACCAACACATTCAGGATATTGCTTAGAAATTGTCTTGCTACCTTGTTAAAGAGGAGAAAGCTTGTACTGTGAGACAAATTATTCCACCTTGCCTGGTGTTTTGACAGTCATTGACAGGTATTTGGAAAGCTAATTAAAACAGATTCCTGATGTATTCTCAAATGTTGCCTATTTTTAAATGCTGTTAAATTTCTTGGTTAGAAATTGGTTAACAGAAGGCAATCAGGGTACACTTACCTTGCTTTTCTTTAGTTCTCCCTTGTGGCTCCGCTCACAGCAGTTTTCCAAAAAGCACAGCTTTCCTTTTCCTATCTCTAGCACATTTATGTTCTTACTGAGACAAACATGCTCTCAGTACAGGGATTTAGAGGCCTTTCTGCTAATTGCCAGCTTGTAAACTTAATTGGACTGTCTCCCTGGGCACTGTTCCTAAATCAATTAGGCCATGAGTTGGCTGTCACCTTTCTTACCAAAGTAGGTCACTTGGAAATGCATGACCCAAAAGAAATCAGACACCCAAATAGGAAGCTGTTGACTTCTGTGATTGAAAGCTGGAATATTTTTTAAAATTGTTATATTTTCAACAAGAGATTCTCTGATTTCATGTATTAGAAAGGGTTGTCCTAGCCTTATCTGGTTTATTAGGAAAACCAGAATGTAACATAAATCTGAGATAACACTTGCACTTTCAAAATTTACTTAAAACATGCAATTTTAAGACGCTAAACATGTTAGAAAAATACAGAACCACATTCTCTTGGGAACAGATAAACCAACGTCTGTAACTCAAAATATACAGTATGTAGCTCTAGGAAGATGTGTGACTGTGATTAATGAGTCTCTCAGACCATGATCTCCTCAAAAGCCAGTGGAGTGAGCTCTTTTACTATGTCTTGAGTAGAATCAATTTATGGTGTAAGCTTCAGTCTGTCAAGTAAGGCAAATAATGTTCAGTTTTTGTCCCTTCTAAGGCTTATTAGGCAAGTAAGCCATAAATCAGAGATATGCAACCTTTGTCAGCTTGAGGGTTGAACAGGCTTTGCTTGTCATGTTGAAAGCTGCACTTCAGAAGTGAATAGGACCAAAGTCTTTTTGGGGAGAGGCGTTCAGGATTTGCAAGATGTGAAATCGATGCTTTATGCATCCGCAAGTCTTAAGCTAACTATTTTGGCACTTAAAACCCTTTGATTCACTCCACTACAAGAAAAGAGGGCTCTAGGAGCTACAAAAGGGATCCTTTGGACTGCATGTTTTCACCCCTGCCTAAAATGAAGTGAAATACCAGCTATCTTCATAAACTCTCCAGCATATATTTTTTCTCTTATTACCATATTTCCTTAGCTAGTTCTGTCTTTTTCTTTATTTTCCAGTACTTCTCTTCTCCCCTAGACATCTGTAAACTTCTTTTTCTGTTGCTTTCTTACAGTAGGAAAAACTAAGAAAATAATTGGAAACAGGACATTGGGAGGATTGGAATGAAAAGGAAATAGCAATTTAAATATTTTGCATTCTGAAAAATAAAAAATAATAAAGCATTTTATTTATTACTTTAGTCAGATCTTCCAGTTACAACATACAGCTTCTGGTGACCACATCTGAATATTACCCCAAAACTAGCTGTTTGACTCTGATAGCAATTGTGATATATCACCAGTGTTATCTGCATGAACATGTAGTGTAGGCCTTGAAACATGAAAGATCAAATCTCTCACTAAGGGTACAATAACATGTGTACTTAACTGCAAATAATCTGTTCAATATATAGTGGGTACACTTGTGAGAGACTAGCAAGATAATGTTTTTATTGGCAATTTTAAAAATAATTTTATTAAGTTTTTGATCCAAAGCATGTAATAATACAAGGAAGAACAATTAAAAACAAAGTGAATGCATTTCATTTCATTTAAAGTATTGTTGAAGAAGCTATATATCTAAAAAAACCTAACAACTAAACAAATCAAAAAGAAAAGAAGAAACTTTAAAAAAACAGTAAAAACCACCAAAATATTGGAAAAAATCACCAATAATACTATTCAATTAAAATTTTGAAAATAAAAAGCACTTTTTAAATTCCACCTCTTTTTTATGATATCAAAGTAATAGGATTATAAATAGGATTATAAAGTAATGATATCAAAGTAATGATAAATGATATCAAAGTAATAGGATTATAAATAGGATTATAAAGTAACCTGCATTATAAACCTAAACTATATGGAATCATGTCCAATCTTGCCAACGAAGATTGGCAAAACGAAGCTGGTTCAAAGGCTGCAACCTCCAAACTTTTTGAACCAGCCTTTAGAATTTGGTATAAACGCATCCTTTAAAGAATACAGACTCACATTTTTTGCAACAGTCTTGGTTCTATATATCCTAAATTCTTCATAAACAGACAAATTCCAAATTTTGGCAATATAATTTAACAATACATGAACATACTTAAACTTTAATTCTCTTTCAAAGGTCTGATTGATGACTCCAATAATATCTAACCAACGAGGAGCTACTAATGGATATGACCAAAACATATATAAGAAAAGATTTAGACCTCACTAATGTTCCACAATGTGAAAATGTAAATCAAAGGTGGGGAAATCACTGGCCTGCAAGCTGGATGTGGCCTGTAAAGTCCACAAAGTGTCCATATTTTGCCCATGGAGACCCTTCTTCCTTGCTGAATTCTGCTGAGTTTGTGTACTGAAATCAGTATTAATTTGATCTATGTTCAAATTTTGATAGCCCCAACATGCCTTTACAGCTATGTAAAAATGTATTAATCTAGTAAACATAAATTTGTTAATGGACACTTAATACGTTTTTGATAACAGTCAGGAGTTGATTGTATATGAAATATATACTGTATGGTCACTTTCAAATTACAGATAAAAATAAAAAATAAAATCCATTGGGTGGTGAGACTCCAGTCCACAGGCAGAATGCTATACATTTGAAGTTCAGTACCTTTCAGTCTAGTCATTTTGCCGATACTCCTACAGCTATCATAGCCATGAAATCTTTCCTTCAGTTTTTATTATCATATGAGGCTAGCAAAAATTCATTGGCTTGGATTCTTTGCTTCCAAAGGGATTTATTTTTATATGTCCTTATACAGTACTGCTTTGCTATAGCTTAAGCAACTACTATCCACCAATGCACCTGCCCAAAGTGGGTGAAAGATAGATAGATAGATAGATAGATAGATAGATAGATAGATAGATAGATAGATAGATAGATAGATAGAGATAGACAGACAGACAGACAGACAGACAGACAGACAGACAGACAGATAGATAG